AAGAAATCAAAGTAAGTAAAAAAGAAAATCTTTGTCATCTAGAACAACTTTTCTAAAGAAGTAATCAGAGAACTGTCGTACGATTGAATTAAAATATAGAAAAGTCCATAAATCATTTCATGGACAAGGATTGTTCTAGTTAATCGATAACTTCTAAACCCCTGTTTCGGTAAAACTTCAAGCAAGAGAAGACGCTGTTCAGATAATATAGAATCGGTAGTCTGATACTATTTGACGAAATATGGACTGAGAAGCTGTCCATCATTTGGAATGATCCAGCCTCGAAAGTAATCGAGCGTAGAGTTTCATGCAACTTAAGAATGGTTTTGTCATAGGAGTTCACTGGCTATCGTTATAGTTAAAGTATGAAGTCGAGTGAGAACGAATTTTTCTTTTTTTTCCTAATACTAACAATAAATAATTTTCTTTTGAAATATATAATTAATGACTAGATTATTCTTAGGAACTTCTCATGCCCTATTCTGCAAATAAGTTATTCCATGGTTATGGCACGTTTTCTAATGACAAATGCAATTAGTAAGTTTTCTTTCAAAATATTAATTTCAATTCATTATAATTGTCTTTTATTTTAATAGATCAATTACTTGAACATCAAAATCAAAATGCTAGTACACATTTAATAATTGATTATCTTGATTTAATAAAAAAAATGATTCAATTACTTCGTTATTCAAATTTATTTGATTTTGGTGAATTATTAATTTCAACTGAAATTGAATGTATAGAAAAATCTTGTGTTAGTGAAGCCTTAAAAACAGGTAAATATTGAGAAAAAAAAAGGAATTTTTTTTATTTGTGTTTTTTTTTTCTAAAACAATAGCCTATTCAACATATCAACGTTGATTTATTGAAATGAATGATGAATTCGATTCAACATCAATGACTAATAATGAAAAATGAATATCAGCTGCTAAACTTGTTAATCAATTACATTTTTTTTCCGATTAGATATATACTTAATATGGATGGTACGATAAAAAGTGATGATGAATCATGTATTAGTGTTAAATGTGCTATACCAATATGTCTATCGTATTTATAAACAATTTGATCCATTTGTTTATCTTACTGAAAGTATGTTTAATTCTTGTTTGACTTTTTTTGTAAAGTTTCAGTTCAGTGAAATAGATCTATTTTATAATCCAAAATTATTTCTAAAGTCGTAACAGTAGGAGGGCCTAGATGAAGGGGATTGTGGCAGAGTTTAGTTGACGTGGCTTCAATTGGTTAAGGTCTCAAAGTTTTAGTGAAAGTTATCTGATAGATATGACAATTTCACTATTAAATTGTTGAAACATATATATATATTGGAGTCTGAAAATTCAAGAAGGGAGATTTCTCAATATTGATTCAGCAGCTTTAGTTCTATTCCAACTTTTAATTTTTTTGAAATCAACAAAAGACTAGAACCTTATCAGACTCGAAAAGATATCAAGTAGAACATTTTATTGAAGCTCAAAGCCTGCATTTATACATCAGAGATTGAAATTATACAATCACACAACTACCTCAAAAAAGTTCTAAGCCGAAGTTCGAGATATGAAATCAATTATATCCTCTAAGGAGTTTTTCTTTAGTCTTGGAAGATTTCTGATTAGATATAATTTTGTAATTAAAATTGAATTCTCTAAACGAAAAAATGAAATTCACATCTCTATATGACTTGTAATACATTAAAATTTATCGAACATCAAGGTATCTTTTTTTTTTCTTTTCTTTAAGATATTACATATCTTTTATCTTTATGTGAACACGGTGATCTACATTTACGTGGTGCATGTGAAAATTTACTTGTTACATTAATTCAAACAACAAATCATCTTTTAACACTATCATCATTATCAAATTCATTTAATAATTCTTTTATTAATGAATGTTCACTTGTATCAACTGATTCACAAGACAGTTCAAGGTTTTATGTCTTAATGATAATAATGCACGTGTTATACGTGTTTCATTAAATGCTTTACGAACATTATTACCTTTTTTTATTAATTAATAGTCATGCATTTACAATCATAGGAATTGAATTATTGAAAGATTCTATTCAACATAGTACAAGTTCCTATGTTCTTGCTAAAGTAGATAAAAGAAATTTATGATTATAATAATTTTTTTTGTATGTATATAAAATAGTTTGCTCTAGCTCAACTTATAGATGATATTGATTTTCGAATATTAACTTATCTTGAACAACAACAAAAACAATTAAAACAACAGTACCCTGATATACGTGTTCGTCAAGTAACTGCTTCGACTTTTGCTAAGTATGTATTTTGTAGAGATAATAACTACGTAGCTTTTTTAGAATTTGAATGAATAAGTCGATTTTATTACATTAAGTTAGTTATTAGCTACTTTTTAATTTTAAGGTTTTGTTGATCACAATTCATTTTTACCATGTCAATGGATATATAAAATTCATCATTCATTACAAGCTCAAGCATTAACTTGAATACAAATTGTTTGTCATTTTTGTCTTTTATATGGGTTGAATGTTTAGAAGATATTTATGTTCTTTCAAATGTTTTAAGACCAACAACAATTCGACCAATTCTTTCATAATCAATATGATGAACTTCGTTTATTTATAATTTTTTTTAAACATCCCTTTATATTACATGATCTTAATAATTTAATCTTTTCAAGTAAAGAGAAAAAAAAGATATTTATTATGTTTTCTTTTTGAATTCTTTCTTTTTATTTGAAGATTTATCAAATCTCAACAAATGAAAAAATGTTTTGAAAGTAGCACAAATGATTCAAGTAATTCGAAAATAACTATTGCAAAAATATTCACAATCATCATTCTTTTGGGCAGAAGATAATTTCCTATAGTTGATATTTCAGTTTTCACAGAAGAAGAGAGTTCCAATGTTTTACATTTGAAGAATATATGTAATCATGTTTCGTCTGAACGAATTCATTTGTTTTTCTTTTTAAAGAGAATAATAAAGATTCATCAACAACATCAAACACAGACAAAGTTGAAAAAGTTAATCATACACAATTATGTACTTTTGGAAATTATTCGAATTAATACGTTCATCTTATCAATTACATAAAAGTTTATTAAATTCATCAGAAATGATTATTATTGTCTATGAAATCAGTTTTAAGTCTTATTTCTACACAAGATTTATCAAAAAAATTTGGAAGAGAAACACTTAATTATTTTAAATCAATATTCAATATACACAAAAGGTAACTTCTTTTAAATAGTAAATATTTATTGTAAAGAAAATTTCAATTATTAATCTTTTTTATTCATCGGGTTAAGCTAAAACCTTTAAGATGTTGTAATGGGTCTGAAACTTGTATACAGATAAAACTTTAGATGGAAATGTTTTAATTAAGGTTTATGAAAGGATCTTTCCTAGAGAAGGAAAATTTCAATATAAGATGTCATAGTAACAGAAAAACTGATTTTACAAATATCGATAATCTTAACGAGAGTAGTTTTGTTGTGAAAGTGTCAGATCTTTTGATTCGGTTCTATCTTGAAATTCGAATATTAAATCATCTAGTTTACGTCAGTGATCTGCAAGACACACTATCAATTCGAAATTTGAAAATCATTTTTTTTTGTTAACACAACATTCATTTAAAAATATTCTTTTAATTTAGTTTTTATTAAATCTTCAAATGTTTCTTCACAAGTATTATTAAATAATTCTTTAACTTATATTCATACGATAAGTATTCGACAATCGATAATTTATTTTATTTGGTTCATGTTATGCATCAAGTATAAATAGTACAATACGAGAGTAAAATGAACAAAAAAACGAATTTGATCTATTCTGTTTTTTTGTTTTCTATTTTATAGTTTTTATTGAACTAAAAAAAAATTAGTCTTAAAAAATATATTAATATACAAATGAAAGCGATTGTCAAGCTGCTGTACTCGATTTAGTTGTTTAGTTACTTTTAATTCGTGTTAATTATAGTTGATTAGAAGCTGATGAAATTCGTTGCATTTCTAATCGTTTCGTTTATTTTTAAATAGCATTTTATTTATTGTATTGCTGAATTTCTTGTTACGTTATTACATGATACACTTCATTCAAAACAAGTTATTAAAATACAAGATTTAATAAAACATTATGATTCATTAATAACAAGTGGACATGAACCTGAAACACATGGTAGGAAGCAAAAAAAAACATTTTCGAGAAAAAGAAATTATCGTTAAAATTCTTTATTTAGCTTTGGCAGTATTAGAACCAGTTTTATATGATTTTTTTCTTGTTTGGGTTATGCGAATAATTAAAATTCCTAAAACGTTTTATTAAATGAGAGAGTGTGAGTGTGGGTGTGTAGATGTCATTTTTCTCCTCGATTGAACCTACACCCACACTTCAACGAATCGATGATCTGAAAATAATCATCTTGTTGTTATATATTTGAGTTTGAAGGAAAACTAGGCGTCTTAATTATTATAAATAAAAGTATTTTTTTCATATCATGTGTATGTACTGAAAAAATAATAATAGAATTTATATTGTTATAGGATTTACGATTGTTAACAGTTATTGTTAATAGTGTTCAAATTGAAAATGATAAATGGAAACGTCTTTCACAACAAATTGTCGATTTACTTCTTGCTCATTTACAATCTCAGGTTATTTTTTTGTTTTAATAGTCTCTGATTTTACGTTACTTTGTTTTTTGTTCAGATAGAATCAATCACTTTTGGATATTTATTCCACACAATTAACACTATTTGTTGTTGTCTCATCAGCTGCATTACGATCAATTGATCCATTTGTTATTGCTTTTCGAGCATTAGTAAATAGAAATGTCCGTTGTTTTTATTTATAAAATTTTTCTGTAGTTCAAAACTTTTTTTAGAATGTCAATTGTCAATCTACAAATCGATAGTTAATCAATATAAATATAATACTTCGATATCTTGTACAAAATTTAACTGAAGATGCTATATTAACACGACAGAATGATGTTTTTTATCAGTTAATGGAACACGAGATGAAACTTTTAGTGCGTAAGTATTCGAAATGATTTTATTTATAATTTAAAAACTATTATTCTCGTTTTTGTTTTCAGAGCTCTTCTTCGTGTTTTACATGACATAATATTATGAATATTAACAAATACTCGACAATTATGTGGTCAAATCAATATGACATTAGTTTCTCTTGCATCCGATTATCTTTATGTACATATCACCCATTAATTTGAAGATAAAATTTTCCTGCAATTCATTAATTACTAATGAGCTAGCGAAATACATTTGACTTTAAAATTCATATGCTTATACAAAATCTATGATTTTATTTTAGCTAAACAATACCGAACAATTGTAAATGATTTTCGTCAATTATGAATTCATGATGAAACTGTACATAATCTTGATACATTTTCATACTTAACTAGTTTAAGTGAACGTTCTAAATTATTATCATCATTTTATATCTCATTATTATTACAATGGACACATTCTGAATATACTTGATTATACACAAGAAGCATGGTGGTCACCAATATTGACACCATCATCAAGAATACATTTATCTATCAGTGGTCAATTACAATCTTATTGTGATTTAGTATATCATCATGAATTATATGTTGAACATTTTACATCAATAACAACACATTATCAATTATTATTATTATTTTTTATTTTATCTTATACATCATACATCAGTTGCAAGTCATTAATTTTTTTGTGAAGGAATACATTTAGATGAAAGTGGTCTTCTGTTAGTTTTATTAGTTGAACAATTCCTTCCATTACCATTAAATAAACAATTATGACCTAAATATATACCATAAATTTTATAAATATTATCAATAACAATATCAATCGATATTATTAAAGAAGATTTTAATAATCTTAATTGCCCTATGGATATAACAAGAAAAAATTATGAACAAATGCTTAAAAATGTAACTTATAAAAAATGATTACCATTTCCGATGTCACGGGTATATTTTAGTTTAATTTATCGAAATAAAAATATATATGTATTATAAAAATTTTAATCCAATTAAAAGAAATGTTTTTTTTTACTTTGACATTGTTTATGTGCTAGTAATAGATGAGACTTTTGAATAATTCAAAACTTCGAAAAATATTTTGAAATAGAAAATATGCAGAATTTCAGGTAATACAAATCGTAAAGGAAAGCATTTAAGCTACATTAGTACAATGACCGAATAATTCCTCTCGAATCTTATTGATCAAATTCTCAGTCGTGCTATTTGTACTATTACAATTAAAGAAAACGACGTCTTTCTAATATTATATTTCGAAATAAATTGCATTCGAGAATTTCGATAAATTCTCTATAAGTTTGAACTCGTGAACTCCGAAAACGTATTGGATTTTTTTCCACAGCATTAAATTTTTAGGATGATTCTTATAGTAAATGAAAATTGACTTTAGAAAATAAGAAACAATATAAATCTGTTCTTTTTTTGTTTTCCTAGGATTTTGTATAGTTATATCAAATGAAACAAATTAAAAAGATATTGAAACAACACCTAATACAATTTATGAAAAAAGTCTTTTATCATGCTTCTAATAATCAATCATATTCAATTGTATTCATAGATTCTCTATTAATATATTTTGATAAAATACAAAATCATGTTGAATTAACATGTCAATTTTCAACAGGTGATATACGTGATTTATTACGTTTTATAATATTTATATCAGAAATAATTTATATAAATATATTTCAAAAATAAAACATCATTTCTTAGTTGTGAAACAGATCAAATAATATCATGTTGTACATTATCGAAAATACTATTATCAATATTTGAATATATTTATCAACAACATGGTTTAATTATATCAAATATATTATAATCATATTTAAATTTGATTGAACCAGATAAAAGATCATCTTTATTATTTAACAAAAAAAAAATTAAATATATATATCATGTATTTATTGACATGATTTATATTGTATAGCTATATTATTATTTTGTTTACCAATATTTATATAAAGACAATTTTGAAGTTGGTTGATTATTAAGAATACAATTTCAAGAAATATAGGCTTCATTTTTAGCTTCAATTAATTCATCACAAATCAATCTAATGATGAAAATAAACAAACAACAAATAATTTAAAAAAAAAAAAGAAGAAACTTTAGAAACAAATGCAACACAATGGTAACAAGATTGAAAAATAAACTAGATTTTATCTGTTCTTTTTTTATTGGTGGTCAATATATGAAAACACGTTCAATATTAGATACAAGCTCAAATAATTTATTTACAAATATTGAACGGTCAGGTACACGTGATTTATTATCCTATGGACAATTTTCATATGATACTATATTAACATCAATCCAAAGTAATAATACATTACCATTATCAGTTAATGTAAGTCTCACATATGTTTTAATAATCGACAAATAGAACTCTAAGTTAAAAGAAAGATAAATTCATTGCTAAATTATTAATTTCATCAAAGAGAAAATCTAGTGTTTCTCTGACTTTGATTTTATATATAATACATGCAAACTATCTTATTTCATAGAGATAAAAGATTATATCAATAATTTCAAATAAATTCTATCAATCAGAAAATTAGAGTATGAACATTTTCTTTGCTGGCATCTACCTTTAAAAATATATAATTTAGAGTTTATTTGATCGATTATTTTTTCATCATGGTTTTGATTTAAGATTATCATTACAAATTCTAATTGAAGTATATGTAATATAAATTAATAGGTTCAATTATATATCTATCTGATTTATTTCCATTATCATAACATTTATCAAATTTATATGATGAATATTTTTGTACATGGTTTGATGAAGATGATTTAATAATATCCTTAATAAGTTATAATTTATGTAAATCTAGTATATTACTTGAACACACAACAAAAGAATATAATGAATTATATATAAATTTAATTGAACGTAATTATAAATTAATAACTAAAACTCATGCATATGCATCATGTTTATTCATGAAGTTGATTTAAATTCATATGATATTTTATTATCATTAATTAATGATGATAATTTAAAACAAAAAATTATATCAATTAGTCTTGAAAAACTTTTAATAATTGATCAATATCCCAAAAATGATATATGGTGTTAATACTTTCACGTATTTATACATTATTACAACGACCAAATAAAAATACAAAATCCATTAAATAATGAACATGTTAATAAAGAACAAACAATAATTGATAGTTCATCAATAATATTATCATCAGATAATATTCTTATTGAACTTGTTGAAGAATTATATCCACGTACAAAACAATCATCAACATTACCATATGAAGCTTTACTTTTATTACGTCCTTTATCATTATTACTTGCACGCATTAGTTTTTTTTTTCGTGCTTTAATTAATGCACGTTATTCAGCTAAAGTTAATGAATAGACTTTATTATCAATGACAAATATTGCACAAAGAAAAATCACTATGTATGGCTATATAAGGGTTAACTTGTCTTATGTTAAGTGCATGTCTATCACAGGGTGTGGGTGTAGGGGAAGACAAGACCTATAATGATACCCACATCCACACCCTCTTATGAGTAAAATTCTGCCTATGGTTAAATATTCTTCCTAGTTTTCTTTTTAAAAATTATCAAGACTTACACATACAATTAAAATTTATTTGGAAAAGATAAATAGTAAAATATTAATGAAAAACAAAAACTCTTTGTTGCAATCCGAAGAAATGACGATCAATACAAAATTAATAGATTTCGCCGTGAAATGTCAAAATGAATTCTCATAGATAATATAGTATATCTTTTACTTTTTTAGGTTTTTATTGATGTTATCACGTTTCAGTGTTCGTTTTGAAGAATCAGACAATCGTTTATTTCTTATTGCTGATCGAAAATAGTATCTGCAGGTATATTAAAAGAAAACTTGCAAATATCAATTGTATCAACAAAAAAGCAAAATCTATTTTATTTATTTTAGTTAACGAATATTGAACATTGACGTCCATATGAACAAGCATTCACACCTGAATCGAATCCAGAAAAATTATATGCTGATTTACTTGAACACGTTCAAAATACGGTGTGGATGTATAGATGTTGTTTGGATATGTTGATGAATCATATACTCTCTCTCTCTCTCTGTCGTCCATACCCACACCTTCAATAAAGACTAAAAATATCAATTTATAAAATGGAAACATAGCAACAAGAATTAATTTATCTACTTTTTTCTTTTTACTAGAATTGGTCTCTACTATAACAATCATATCTAAATTTTCTAAACCAATCAGAATAGATTGTCATTTATTTTGTGCTCTAATTTCTGTTTGGCTTATTGATTTATATTTCATATCGTATGTTTTATTATGATTTCAATCATTGATTTAACTAGTAAATAAGTCGATTACATGTATCCATTAAACATATTTTAGCCATTGAAGTTTTAACGAAGACTTTTCTAAGCCATGTCGTTAGAGTTTAAGAAAAAGTTGCACAACATCTGGATTAAAACTTGCATTTATAACCAGTACTTTTAATAATAACAAGAAGAATGTGAGTATAGATGTTGATATTCTGTTTAACCACATCTACACTCTTTGAATCGTTTTGGTTTAGTAGATTATTTGTAAAAAGCAGCTACCATACTTCATCCTATTGAACTGTTTTCTGAAAATCCATTGAAAATGATTAATTCAAAAAATCTCGCACTACACAATTGTTTCTTTTTATTCAAATAACAATTCTTTTTTTGTTGATTTATTATTCGTATTTTTTATTATTTTATTATCAATACAAAAAAAATTTCATAATAAAGAAAAAAATTGAATATTTTAATGTAAAAAGCAATTCATCATTGACAGTATTTAACGATAACTATCAGAAAAGGAATCAAACCAACTTCCACAGGTTCGAGTTCAGTTCGATGCCTGACAAGCGCGGTATTATTCTGTAAAATTATTTTAGATTGTAAATTTCTGAGAATTTTTTTAATGAAAAGCATAAGTTAAAACTTAACAATACAATCATCGAAATGCATGACTTCAGAAAAAGTAAATCATAAATAACGAAAACTCGATCATCACTAAAGAATGTTCTGTAAGAAAATGATCGCACCATGTTCCTGTTACATTCTAAAGATACTAAAAGGCTTGTAAACACATTCTAGAATACTTCAAACATATTTAGATTTTTTTTAAATTTATTTTTGGATTTTTGGTAAATGTTTACAAAATGTAAATTGATTGCTTTGCAAAATATTCCATCGAACATCGTTTGATAATCGCATATAACATCACAACTTTACAAAAATGACTATATCTTAGCTAGTCATTGTTTTTTCATATGCTTATCTATATTTATTCATTTTTTCAAAATTACTAATATCTGTTTATGGAAGAAGTCGTTGTTTCAATGAATAGTATGATGTTAAATCCTGTTCTATTTTCATTACTGAGAATAGGAGAGACGATTAGCTTCAAAACTTTTTTCTCACAATCTACTTTCGTGATTTAAATTTCGTGTTCTAACTTATTTAACTTTGTTTCAAATATTTTTTTTGTTGTTGACACAGTAAACTTTGCATACATGTGACGATACAAAATAAAAAAATTTTTTCTCGTAAAATTTAATTTAAACAGAAATATATGCAATAAGATGTGTTAGTTAGTTAGTTAGACCCGTTACCGTTTCCAGTGTAGGGTGAGAAAAAGATACAATACACAAAGATACACAATGGTTAATAAATGAAAAATCGAAAATATTAGAGTGTTCTTGGCGAATGTTCTATTGATCTCTATTGAAGCTTGAACTCTAGACACATCCGAGAACTACCCTCTGGAAGACCAGTTTAAATAGTACCCATCATAAAAAAATTCTAGGTTCATTTTTCAATAGGTGTTGAACAATCACATCGAGTTGCTGCTTTAATTTCTCTATTTGATTCTGCTCTTTTTCCGCCAGACTGTGGCACTAGAACATGCTCTCACATGGTTAGTGATTCCTTGAGGTTTGAATTGTTTTCGACAACCAGGGCACTGAAATCGATTATCCTTGTTTTTAGTTAATACTTCTGTCACTTTACGCTGTACAACTCCTTTGGTTGCTGCTAACTCCATCCTTCTTCTTTCAGTTGCACGTTGTTTGTACTCGTAGATAATATCTTTAATATTTGGATGTACAGGTTCACAATGAGTGTTTTGATTGATTAATTGTCGCCATTGATCTTTGTTTAGCGTCTGTCTTCTCCAGTTTGTTATATTCAGTATTTCAATATCATTCTGAACTTTATCTTCCCATCTTTTCCTAATACCGATGTTTCGGGGCCGTTTTTCTCCGGAAAAGTATGAAAATGTTATCTTTTTAACAATTGATGGTTCATTATCGTTGTTCATCATTCTGTTCGCATGACCAAACCATCTCAGTCTATTTCGACGTAGGATATTTTCAATGGGTGGTTGACCAGTTACTTCTAGTAGCTTTTCATTTGATATTCTGTCACCCAGATTAACACCGATAATCATTCGTAGACATTTCATATAGAAACTAACGATTCTACGTTCATGCGAGGATGTGATGGACCAAGTTTCACTTCCATACAATAGAACTGGAAGCACGCAGGCTCGAAAAATACGTAGTTTTGCTTCAATGGACACAGTTTTCCTAGCCCATATGACATGCCTCAACATATTGAAGGCTGCAGAAGCTTTGGATAATCTTGTATTGATCTCTACATCCGGCTTTTGATCTCTGGAGATATTGCAGCCAAGATACGTAAAAGAGTCAACAGTTTCGATCTTCTGATTACG